TGTGTGTGTTTTCTGGTAGCAGATACTGTACTGCCCTCTTCATGCCACCATGATGTTCCCTTTCTGGCACTCAGAGTTCCTCACAGTCTCTCTCTGTCCGTCTCTGTCAGGTATCTCTCCAGACAGGATGTAGCTCAGACCTCCATCACTGTGGCCCAGAAAGAGGGCGGAGCTCTCCGCATCATCAAAAAGGACAACATCGGTCCGAAAAGACAATCCTCATCCGAACCTACTGACCCCAGCAACAGGTCTGACCACCCATAACCCTTAATAGTAATAACTGTTATTAAAGTTATTGTTATACAAATTTAGTTATTAATAATATTAATGGTTGTCATATTGCAAAAATCTAGATAAGGCACAACAATAATAAATAGTTACAAAAGACCGCTTGTTTTTGTGATAGCTTATGCAAAAATTATCTGTCATTTTATTTTTGCTTTTTGTAACAACTCAATTTGCATAACGATAAAAATGTTAGTAATATGTACCACTTGCTTATTTTTAACAATAGAAAGTGACAAATTAAGATTTTTTTATTTGTTGTTTTCTTTCTGCTTATTGAAACTATTAATTGGACGACCTCCACCATCAAGAACATCTTAACAACTGCATAGTAAAAACTACTCCTAACACCATAGCAACACCCACTTATCAACTAGTATTTTAAATGTTAAATCCTTCAGAAGATGACCATCATTCTTCTCCATTAAGAACATCTTAGCAACTGCATAGCAACACAGTAAAACACTCATAACACCCTAGCAACACCCACTTATCAACTAGCATTTCAAACGTTAAATCCTTCAGAAGACGACCATCAAGAACAACCATCAAAAATATAACAACTGCATAGCAATGCAGTAAAAACACTCATAGCACCCTGGCAACCACATATCAACACCTGCTTAACTTAAGTTAAATCCTTCAGAAGACGACCATCAAAAACATAATAGCAACACAGTAAAATATTCATAAAACCCTAGCAACCACTCAAAACACCCTAGCAAGCACATAGCATCATGGTTATCAACTCGTATTTCAAACATTAAATCCTTCAGATGATCATCATCAAGAACAACCATCAAGAACATCATAGCAACTGCATAGCAATGCAGTAAAAACATCCTACCAACTACTTATAGCACCCTAGCAACCACTCATAGCACACTAACAACCACCCACTTAGCTACTAGTGTTTCAAACGTTAAATCCTTTAGAAGACAATAGTCAAGAACCATCAAAAACGTCACAGCAACTGCATAGCAACAAAGTAAAACACTCATAACACCCTAGCAACCACTCAGCAGCACCCGCTTATCAACTTGTATTTCAAATGTTAAATCCTACAGAAGACGACCATCAAGAACAACCATCAAAAACATCATAGCAACTGCATAGCAACACAGTAAAAACACTCATAACAACCTAGCAACCACATAGCATCACCTGGTTATCAACTAGTTAGTATTTCAAATGTTAAATCCTACAGAAGACAACCATCAAGAACAACCATCAAAAACATCATAGCAACTGCATAGCAACACATTAAAACACTCATAACACCCTAGCAACCACATAGCATCACCTGGTTATCAACTAGTCAGTATTTCAAATATTAAATCCTACAGAAGACAACCATCAAGAACAACCATCAAAAACATCATAGCAACTGCATAGCAACACAGTAAAACACTCATAACACCCTAGCAACCACATAGCA